CCTAAAGCAATTCGTCAAAATGGATCTCCCTTTAGAGATTCATATGTAAATCGGACTCTGCCAGGAAGCATCAAACAGGTCCTTTTGTGTAATGACACCAACATTTTGAATTGTTAAAGTGTTCTCATTGAATAGATTCTGGGTTATACTAATTATTTGTCAGTTACTTAATTATTTGGACATAAGTAATGAATCAATGTCATTTTGGGAAAAAACTGCTTCTTGTCCTCAAAAAAGAGATGAGAAGTTACTGTAATTATGCCTGATTTTACTAAGTTAAAAGTGGAGCAGAAAGCCCCAGTTTATACTCAAATGACTGAAAACACATCCATTATCCATTTTCTTCCTTTTTTGGAAAAAAGCTAACTATGTTGAATTGCACTGCATTCTTTGAGTTATTCTTAGAAGACCAGTGTTCACGGAGATGGTTAACCTCTGCTATTCACATGGCCACTGTGAGTTCTCTATGCTTTAGTGATAATACTGTTCTCACCATCAGATTTATTTGCTAACAGAGGTTCTTCTCAATGACACATGCTCAGGGAATATTTGTGACAGTGACTCTGATGAAGAACAGCTGGCTCAGATGACATTATAAATGATCAAATATTTTCACCAACTCACCTTGAGAAAAATCAGTCAAATTTCAATAGACACATTTCGACAAGAAAACACTTTTACATTATCAGGCTTTCTTGCTTGGGCTAAGAGGAAACACTTTTATAATGTGCATACTATTATGCCCACTTTTATAATGGGTAACTAAATTTAATAAAAATAATTTTAACATATATCTTAAATTGAGTTTTTCTTGGGCCTAAAACTGCACTGGAATACCTTCATTTTAGTACACATAATCTGAAGAACACTGAGTATTCTAAAGACTGAAATATATAGTTTCTCAAAAAAAGCACCAGTTGTGGCAGGATTAAAAGAACAGGTTTCATCTCTTTTTTGTTTAAACAGGCAACTGATAGGACTTCCTTGCATCTTTTATTCTGGAAATAATGGCCTCAGATACTAAATGTTAAATGAAAATTAAATAAATCAAATGGGTCAGATATAACCAGCAAGTTCTATACAAAAAGAACATTTGTTACCACAAATGTATTTCAAGGAAATCATTAAAAATTACATTTTTGAGTTCTAAAGGAATTACAAGCCTTTTTTAGAGATAGAGACACCTGGAAATTCCTAAGGTGAAAATGCTGGTTCAATTTTTTGCCAATACATATAATAATGCCTTATTTTTTTTTAAAGTCCTAACCCCATCCCATTCGTCTTACTGGCCTTCAGTTTCCGTTTCCCTACTTAAGGCAGCTGATAACCAGAGAATGAGTAAACTGAAGGGGCCACAGAGGTGACCTGATCTCCCTCACCGCACCTCCAAGGGGAGCAGTGTGCGGGGCTGTGGCAGTTTCCTGAAAGATGAGGGGACCTGACTCTGCCAGCTCGTAGAGCCTGGTCTCAATCCAGCACCGGCTGCTCAAGACAGAACACAGGCCCTGAGTCGTGGATCCCCATCTGCGCCCTCTCTCCACCCTGTGATGTGGGAAAAGACACAACTCTCCACACCTTAACAACAGGACCACAATACCTCTGAGTGGCTGTGAGAACAAGATGGCACAACATGCAAGATGATACCTCATGGAGAGCAGTTTCTCATTAAATGTTACATCCTTCTTGAAAGTTCATTCTTACACTCAGATCAGATTTATAATACATGATTCTGTGATTTTCAGGAGTTACACAGAATCAGCCTTCCACCTCTGTAATCTGCAACTGCCCTCCTAACCCTAGAAGATGAGAATGATGAAGGGACAATCTTTTTTCAAATGCCAGCTATCATACTCTACCCATGGGATGATTACAGCAATTGGCTTGGAAAAGATCAGTGGCAGCCTTCATTGGGAAAAGTCACCAGGTCTCTGTGCAGGGTTGTCTAGTCCAGTAAACATTCACTGAGAGCTTACAACGTGCCAGGGAGACTACGAACTAAGATCCATGAAGCTTTTCCTGGGAAGTCTACTATCTTCTGAGAAACAGACATATACTAAGTGAAGACTGCACAACACTGCTAACAAGTTAGATATAAACTGCTAAGAGATGAAAGTCAACAAGGAGTTTGGGGTGGGTCCCCCACAGGTGGCAATTAAAAAAACTCAGTCTTGAGAATGTTGATTCTTTCCACAAATATTTATTAAGGACTAACTATGTGATGGCCATCATACTAGGTGCTGAGAATATAAATGATATTCTGATGCTGAAGTTGAAACTCCAATACTTTGGCCACCTAATGCGAAGAACTGACTCACTGAAAAAGACCCTGATGCTGGGAAAGATTGAAGGCGGGAGGAGAAGGGGACAGCAGAGGATGAGATGGTTGGATGGCATCACCAACTCGATGGACATGAGTTTGAGCAGGCTCTGGCAGACAGTGAAGGACAGGGAAGCCTGGTGTGCTAGAGTCCATGGGGGAGCAAAGAGTGACTCAGTCACAACTGAGTGACTGAACTGAACTGAGAATATAAAGGTGTGAACAGGGTGTGTGTGTTGGGGGGGGAATCCCTACTCTCATGGGATCTAGAGTCTAATTTATGATTATTCCATCAATGGAGTAATTATTTTAATATACTCTAAGGAGACCACTTTCAAGTTTCCCACTTGTCACAAGAATGAATACCCACTTGGGAGGTTATAGAATCCAGCTTTTCTAAGTTGGATATTCTGTAGTATACCCACCTGATCGAAAATCCTAGAAATAAGCAAACAAACAAACAAAAAAGAATACTTTCCCCCTTCCCATGCTGCAAAGCTAAGCAGCCAGTGTAAGTAACCTTTAGAATCTCAAGAGGTTAAGACCAGTGGCCAATTATATCCAAGACCACCACCGTGGCCATCTGCTCTCTAAAGGCCACTCTGTGGTCAGGCAGCATAAGGAAGGCCCTGGGTGGGAAGTGCAGCCTCGGGAATTACACTGAATGTCTGGGGAAAGCCAGGCCTGAGTGTGGGCTCACCCAATGAGGGCTCCATCCTCCTTCAGAGCCTCCACCCTCATCTGCTCCTGAAAGGACATGCGGGTTCCTCTGGGGAGGCCACTATCCCCTCCCTGTTGCAGGGGATAGGAACAGGGGTTATTAACAAAATATTTTGCAAGTCAATTGTTTTAGTGCTTTTCCTGTCATTTATCAACAAATAGCAGAATTAAGCTTAGAAAACCAAGTGCCTTGAATTTCTTTCCCTTTTGCTCCCCTAAACTTTAATCTTTCAAGAAATTTCTACTTGTATTCATCTAATTTCACTCAAGACTCACTAGAGTAAACACTGAGACACACACACGTGCGTCTGGTTCACACTGTAGGAATTCAATCCATCTCGTTGAGTAGAAAGATGAATTAATGTATGGAAAGAAGGCACTAGGTCTTTCTGAAATAGGCAGATTGTGAAGCCAACAAAGCTAAGTCCCCTCCCGACTCATCCCATGTCACGGCACAGCGGGGTCAGGATCCACACAACGGCCTGATGATGATGAAGACGCCATCCAGCACGTCCACAGCAGCCAAGCCTACGAGAACTCCAGGGAAGCTGAGGTGGAAAAGAGCAGACACCAGGCTACCTCAAAGGAATTTTACAACATTTGCTTCCTTTCACAACAGTCTCTGCCACCCTCACAAGACTCAGCCCTTGTGGAAGAGTGTGAGGCCCAACTGCCAGTTTGGTAAGAAGACTAGCAAACAGGACCACATCCAACTGTAAGGAACACAGAGATGAGACAGAGGCCCGTCCTTCCCCAACTGAATAGCCAAGTGGTGAAACTGTCCATAATGAATTCATGTTTAAAATATACTTCACTGAGCTCCCAGTGTGCCGTCTCTGCTGAGCATGAGGGGGCACAGCTCTCGGCCCGGACCCTCAGCACCCAGTCCAGCCGGGAGGCTATGGGGACACCCAGCAGATAGGCTCCAGTAACAGCTGACCCGAATCTGCAAGGACAGGAAACGCTCCGAGGACGGAGAGGAGCTCTCAAGGCAGAGGCCGCTGCATGAGCAGAGCACTGGAAGCCTAAGAGGACTCAGTACACTTAAGGAAGCACCAGAGGCTCAGGATGGCCAGGACAAGGGCTCAGGTCTTTCCAGCGGCTGCAGATGACGCGAAGACGACGTCTGTGGCCCAGGGATTATGTCAGGCTTCCAGAAACTGTGCAAAGAGGTGCTGAGCTCCAAGCAGGAGACCTCAATTAAGGGAAACGTGGAAATCTAGTGCTTTGGGAACTGGAGGACTGGCACTGCTTCCCTTTCTTTGACAACAGTTGATATAATCTTCCTTTAATATTAATACTTTCAATGACTAATATGACACATCTATCCAGTACTTATTTTCCTCCTTTATGTTAAAATAGAAAGTCAAAGAAAGAATCCCAGGGGTTCTATATTCTTGTTAAAGAAACCAACGCTCCCACCCCCTGCTGCCCATTTTCCATGGATGTATTTTCTTTCTCTTATGTTAAGTAAGTCTGTGGACCGTATCAAAGAATTACTGAATGATAAATGGAAAAACTGATTTGCATTAATTAAAAAAACTAGAAACTTTTATTTTCTTCACTGAAAAAGCATTTCCACTAAGAATCCATATTCAGCAGCAGAGCCTAAGAGGAAATACTTAATGGTAAAAACAACTTGTTATATGCAGGCAATTATTTTTTAAAGGACTGAATCACTCAGAGGCAACCTGTAGTGGATGAACGCTGTGTCACATGCCTGTGTGACAGCTTGCCAGCATGTCTCCTCGGTCCTAGGCCTGAGCCTCCCCACCACCCAAATTCACCTTCATAGTTATTTGACAAAGGAGATTATTTCTTTCACATTTTCTGTGTCTCTGATACCAAGTACTTATTTAGCACTCAGTAAATGCTAAAGAGCTCAATTTGAGCAGGGTGAGGGATACTGGTCACCACGCCTGACACTGTCTGCATCATAGGCCATCAAAGCACCTTCACTTACATAGTCTCCATAGGTCTCCTGCGTCGGGGGCGGCGGCGGAGGTCTGTACCCAGTTGGGGGCACTCCTCGTGCTCTGGGAGTGAGTAGTCCTCTTCCGCGACTCACTGGCCCTCGGGTGGAGAGGACGCCCCTGGAAGCTGGTGTCCCCCGTGGTACCCCGACTCCCACCGGCCGGGCTGAGACTCCTCCCCTGCCCCTACAAGCAAGGAGGTCACATTAAGAATTTGCATGGTGTTCTCCAGTATTCCAGTGTTCACATGCACTAACACCTCATGAAAATCAATGTTCCATAAATCTGTAAAAAGAAATAAGGACACTATATGCAAAGAAAAAACTAAAGCAAGTCATGAACAGATTATCTACCTAAAGAAAGGAACTTCAATCATTCAAGCACCTAGTCCAGTGATAATAAACATGGTAACGTCAAAGAAGCCCCAGCACTGGTTCCTGTTTGGGACTGAGAACAGGAAGCTGACATCCGGGGAGGCTGCATCCCCTGGGGCCATCACGCCCCACCAGAGTCTCAGCCAGTCCTCACTCCAACACTGCGACCCGGGCCTTACTGGCCCGTCTTTGGACAAGAAAACAGAGCCCTGCAGGGATCTTACGGCTGGCTGAGAACACACAGACGGCAAACCCAGGACCAAAATACACACCAGATTCCAGGAGAGAGGGAACAGAATGGACTTTCTCAAATAACATATCTACTACACAGGATGGAAAGCACAGTTCTCAAGTGAAAGAAACATATATTTTCTGAAGTAGAATGCAACATATTCATGTATTTCTAACATAAAATATGAGACTTCAAGTCAAGAGAAGAAGGAAGGAGGCAGCTAAAACCCGAGCAAGCGTGCCAGTCCTATGGAGAAATGAGGACAGACATTAGCTCTACTGGAAAATGCAGGCCCAGCCAGGCCTGCCTCCCGCGGACCACGTCCTGCAAACAAGAGCAGAGCAGCCGATGCGGCCGCCTGTGCACCAGTTCTCTCCTTCTTCTTTAGTTTGACTAGAGTGGTGAATACACAGCTGAAAATGCAAATTTCACACAAAATGGAGAAAATTAACGAAACCAAAAGCCAGCTCTTTGAAAGGATCAATAAAATTAATAAACCTCTAGACAGGCTAAACAAGGAAAAACAATATCAGAAATGAAAGAGGGGGTCACACTACTGATCTCAAGGACATTAAAGATAAAAACAGGAAAATTATGGACAACTCTAGGCCCACATATTTGTTAATTTAGATGAACTGGACTAATTCCTCAAAATACACAAATGACCAAATCTCACAAGAAGAGAATTAAATAATCTTATGTTTATTAAAGAAATTTAATTGATAATAATCTTTCAAAAAAGAAAGCATCAGATCCAGAGGATTCACTGGCAAAACCTATCAAGTACTGAGAAGAAATTATATCAGTCTTCCACATTCTCTACCAGGAAGTAAAATCAGAGGGGACCTCTCCCAACACGTTCCCCGCAGCTGGTCCTTGGAAATGCCTCCTGAAAGTTACTTCTGCATTACAGGCTGGGCCTGGCCTGGGTCACCAGGGATTACAGAAGTGGCCGGCCCCAACCTGGCCTTGAGCCCTCACGGGGACCTATCACAGGAGCTGTCTCCCAAGGTTTTTTTTCTAAGTCCACCTGTGGGAACCACGACTGGGCTAGGTGGTCTCTGACCTCCCAAGGAAGAGATATGTGGTCCAAGAAGAAACAAAAGACATTAAAAATACTATAAAATGGAAATAAAAATTTATAAATCAGTACCTCCCATGAACAAAGATGCAAAAATCCTCAAAAATAGAAGCAAATTGAATTTAATAATATACTAAACACATCACGACCAAGTAAGACTTATTCCAAGTATGCAAGCCTACTTCAACTGGTAGCTCAGCTGGTAAAGAATCTGCCTGCAACACAGGAGACCTGGGTTCAATCCCTGGATTGTGAAGATCCCCTGGAGAAGGGAATGGCTACCTACTTCAGTATTTTGGCCTGGAGAATTCCATGGACTATATAGTCCATGGGGTCGCAAAAAGCTCAACACAACTGAGCGACTTTCACTTGAAGGTTGCTTCAACATTAATGAGAATCAATGTGATCCATCCATCGCACCAAGAAGGCTTAAGAAGAAAAATCTTAAGATCAAATCTTAAGATCAAGCAGCATTCAATGAAATACAAGGTCATTCATGATTAAAAAATATCTCAGGAAATGGAGATATATTCACTCAGTTTAAAAAAGAACATCTACAAAAAACCTACAACTAATAACACATCAAATGGTGAGAGACTGAATGCTTCCCCTTAAGATTAGGAAGAAGGCATGGATGTCCAGTCTCACCATTCCTATTGTACTAGAAGTCCTACCTAACTCAATGAGGCACAAAAAGAAAATAAAACGTTCAAGATTGTGGAGGAAGAAACAAAACTTTGTTTGCAGGTGACATCATTTCTCTGTAAAAGTTTCCAAAGAACCACCCAGATCAAGATTAAAAAAAGCAACTATACAAGCAAACAGTAAACCAGAACTAATAAGCACATGAAACACAGTCTTGGAATACAAAGTTTGTAAGTCAACTGCTTTCCTATAAACTGCAATGAATAACTGAAATTTTGGTAAGTGGCTAACAGTGATAAGCCATGCAAATAGTATGTTTCCATGATATGACATAATAAAAATATCTATTTCCCTACGGTTTTTGTTCCCCAAACTAATAAGCCTGGGCTAATCTGAAAAATAGTAGACAAATCCCAAACAAGGAACATTTTACAAAGAACCTGATTGGTACTCCTCAAAACTGTCAAAATCATAAAAAAAAAAAAAAATATGACTTTCACCTTTAGGGAACCTGTGTTATCCATCCATTTTTTAAGTATTGTAAGTTATATATATATATTTATATATATATATATTTAAATACTAGGCCATAAAAATTGGTGCAGTGTATTTAAATACTAGGCCATAAAAATTGGTGCAGTAAAATTGGTGGTCAAGAATGAGGACACTGGATTCAGATCTGAATGCAATTCCTGACTGTGGTTATTTAACCTGCCCTCCAGTTAACATTCAAGCGCATCAAGGGTCTGAACTTCCCGGGACAGTTTCCTCAACCATGAGAGCTCTTTTCCTGGTGTTATGGGGAAGGAAAAATGGCACAGGGCACACACAATTTTCAGCACATTTCCTGCTCAAAACCACTTAAACAAATTTCAGTTTCTCTGAACTGTATTGACAGAAATCATATCTTTAGTTTTACTCATCTTTTTATCTCCATTATATATCTAAAAACTCTTCAGTGTAATTAGAGAATAGTTTCTACTCCTGGTACATCTGACGCATCTGTGCTATGTCAGGCACTCTGTGTATAATCAAACTAATTAAGGCTCCTGCTTCTTTATCTCATATCCCACCCCTGTCATCCAAGGCACTATATCAATCACAAAATATTCAATACTTTGACTGTATAAATTCATGTCTTTTAAATTGAAAACATAAATTTATATTTAAGAACCTCACAATTCTCTCCCATCAGCATTGACACTGTTAGGTTATGCGTCCACTGGGTATAGGAATCACACTAAAGAACCTGTGATAGAGTTTCAGACGAGTCAGTTGATGCGTGTACCTCGGGACCCTTATCTACAAAAGACACTTTGAAGATTCGTCTCTAAGAGTCTGAAACCCCACAGGAAGGGTGTGAAGCAGCACGGCCTTAGTGCTGTGCGAGGCGCTTGGCGAGGGAAGTCATGACAGAGGCACGGCCAGCACGCACGTCCCGTTGCACCGCGGGCGCGCTCACCCAGTGCTGCAGATCAAGCTCAGGGCAGAGCTAACGGCAGGATTGATGACATGGGGTGAGAGCAGAAAACACGTCTGTGAGATGAGATTTATAATGATAATCAATGGGAACTCGTTTATTTTTTACTTGAAAAGTTGCTTTCAAATTAACAGGACTGGGTGCTGCACTGCTCAGAACAGGGATAATGGAAAAGCAGAAACCCACCCTATCTGAGTACATGGTTTCACAAGCTGGTGAATGTGTGTGGCTGTAATGGTTCTGTGTGTTTGCATTCTTCAGCACAGTGATGTTGATTTCTGGCTTTACAAGTCAGATATGAAAATAATTGAAGTAAGTTTTTTTCCATGGGAACCGTGCTTTGAATGAATACAAAAAGTTATTGATCCATTAGGAACTAATTATTTAGTTTATATGTTAGTAAGAGGTTTTCGGATATGATGAAAAAGCCCGTGCTTTGGGTTCCAACACACACAGCCTCAATACTCAGATCTAGTCCTGAGATCACTGGGTTGCTGAGCCTGGGCTTTCCATCCACAGAACCAGTAAACAAGATCCAGCTCTCGTGGAATAGTTGCGAGCGTTACAACTATATCAAGTGCCCAAGCAAAAACAGGCACTCAGTAAGTGGTGATCACCTGTGGACTCTGTCCTCAATACTGTCCTTCTGGTTGCTGACCGAAGAGTAAGAGAGAGAGACAGCAGAAGGTACAACTTGCATTAGGTCTCATCTTACACGTTCGGCAGCAGCACATTTATGTACCTTCTATACATGTAGCAGCAGTAATGCAGTGTGGTAGAATAAGGGTATAAATGTATATCACAGTGTTTGGCTTTTGTCTATATATTTTATGAGAAGCAAAAATACAGAACAAAACAATGAATTTGGTGAATTAGCTCAAGCCAGCTCCAGCATTATTAGCTGGGTAAGGCCTGGGCCTCAGGAAGAGAAGGGCCTACAGCTGATCACTGCAGGGGCCTGTGGATCTAGTCAAGGTCTAACCAGTGTCAGAGTGAGAAAAGCCCTCTCTGAGATCCATCCGGGGATCAGCCTTGATGCAGTAATGACCTGAGGGGTGCTTGACTTTCCCACAGAATCCCTGACAAGTGTGACAGCATTTCTTCATCTCTGATGGTGTGTGCTTCTAAGAGTCAAGTGTAATCATCAAGATTTTTTTTTTCTTGCCAGAGGTTGAGAAGGGAATGAGAAGCCAGACAGAAGGTAAAAGTAAATGTAGCCTAAGGTCTCAATTGCTCAGACTAAACATAAGAAACCGCCAGGGCAAGGAGACTGAAGTTCTGAAGAGAGGACTGGGACAGCTTTCACCCGGAGCACCTCTGCAGTGGGCTGGGCCCACTTCTCCTCTTACACTGTGCTGCGCGCCCACAGCACAT